GGTCCCGCCCAGGGACGGCCCCGCCCAGAGCAGACGGTCCCGCCCAGGGACGGCCCCGCCCAGAGCAGACGGCCCCGCCCAGAGCAGACGGCCCCGCCCAGGGACAGCCCCGCCCAGAGCAGACAGCCCCGCCCAGGGACAGCCCCGCCCAGAGCAGACGGTCCCGCCCACGGACGGCCCCGCCCAGAGCAGATGGTCCTGCCCAGGGACGCGGAGCACCTGCACCCCTAAAAGGAGCCCGGGAACACTCCCTGCATGAGGGGCCCAGACTGGGGGCCTCTCGCTCCGTCACCCGGACCAGGGCCAGCCCAGCGAGAGGCAAACCGGGGTCACAGAGCACGTCGCAAGAGTCACCTCGGCGGGCAGACTGCTGAGCTCCGTCCTGGGGCGCGCGCTGGAGGCTGAGGCCCGCGACCGAGCCCCCAGCAAAGGCAGGTAGCGCTGGAGGGCCCTGGCCAGGGCGGCGCCGTCCTGCAGGCTGGGCCTCCTCTCGGCGTCCGCACTCGGCTCCGACGTCCTGAAAAGCAAAAGAAACCACGAGTCAGTCGTGCGCCTGGCCCGTCCACGGTGGAGCCGCCCGGAGCCAGGACACGCGGGAGGGGGCCGCGGGCTCAGGGTGGGGCCTCGCCTGCTGCGGCCGACACCCTCGACTGCGGGTGCCAATTCTCGGTGGCCCAGGAGCCTCAGTGTCCCCACACGAAGAACGGGGTGAGGGTGCCGCCCCAGCTGCGGGAACAGCCACGCTGGGCCTGTTCCCAGCAGGAACGGACACGCACACGTGGGAAGTGACTGCAGTGTCCTCGCGCAAGCCCAGCAAGGGCCGGAATCACCGCGGGAGGCCGTGGCTCCAGACACTGGAAAAGGCAGATCAGAAGGTCCCCTGGTAAACCTGTGTTTGACGCCACCAAGCGCCCGAGTGCGCTATCTGCACAGCAGCCGGCATCAGCGCAGCAGGCGCCCCACGCACTCCCCCACCGTCACCGCAACGCCTACACGCTTTGCGCATCACCACGTGTGCACACACGTGCCAGGCAGACGGTCTGACGCTGGAAGGACAGGCGCAGGATGCTGGCTGCCCTGGGACGGAAGGGCCCGCCCTGCAGCCAAGACAGCCAGGGGCACCGAGGAGGGCGTGACTCTGGGCCAGGATCTGGGGTGTCGGCAGGTGTAACCACGCGGGGGACACACAGAGTCGCTGAGAGAACTGCCCACGTCCCAGCAGGGCATTCGCCACGGGCGGGAGTAGCAGTCAGGGCACCGGAGGGCCTTGGGGAAGCCGGGCCGAGAACTCCAAGAGGGCACTGGAGAGGTGGAAGTCAGCACCGCCGGGCACACGCGGTCTGGCTTCCCGCTGAGACTGCGCCCTGCCACCAGCCGCGGCTGGCCGAGAGCTCCGGGCGACATGTGACCTGGCCACAAAGGGCGTGGCCTCCTCCCAGCCGGACTTCCGCCTCTGCACTGCCTGTGCCCAGAAAGGCCCACGGATGGGCACCTCCTGAAACAGGAAGACGCACCTGCCAGCCGGGATGAAAACCACACACACACACCATGCTTCCAACAAAACACAGAGATGCCGTGCACCCGAGTTCAAATGGCCAGCAGTGCCAACCAAAGAGCTTTGAACCCTGATCATTTTCGGTTTTCCACACTCCTTGGGGGGTCCTGCCTGTGTCCACACAGGAAAGCTGGAGTCACGGCCACATGGGCCTGAGCTGGCCCCTGCTGCCCGGCTCTGGCCATCCACGTCCTCCCCAAGCCCTGCTGCCTTCCAGAACATTCCTAGAACCATGTTCTAGTCTGGCTTCTGCAGCAGCTGACAGCCCAGACACCCTCCCGCTGCTAGCACGGCTGGGCCTCCACCTCCCCGGACCGGGAGAGGCTGCGACTGAGCTGAAGCAGGTTCTCGGGAGACGGGAAGGGCGTGGCGTGGACAGAGCACCCGCAGAGCTGCAGGACGGGACAGACAGACGCTTCCGTGTGTCTCCACCCGGGATGCTGGAATCATCTAGATATTTCCTCCATCTCCATCTCGTTTCTCGTGTTGGCTTATTCTCTGTAACTCTGTTTTGCGATTTTGGCAGTTGGTCCCGAGTGCGAGCATCCGTGCTGAACTCCTCACGCTCGCCTTCAAGCGACACCACGGCACCTGACATACGGAAGGGGAGCCGTGAGCCACCACTCTGCACCTGTCTCTCCTAGCTGTGACGCCGTCGCCACCACTCTGCACCTGTCTCTCCTAGCTGTGACGCCGTCGCTGCCACCGTTCTGTCCACTCCTGTGCTCCAAACCCCATGATATGCTGCTGGCAGTTTTGTTTAAACATGAATTTCTTTCAACGTGATTTAAACAGCAAGAGAAACTGCACCTGTTGGCATGTGCGGTGACCTTCCGAGGGCCTCCCATGCTCTGGCATCACTTCCCCTGTGCAGGGCGGGCGCAGGTCGCCGTGGCTTCCCCGCCTCCGCACCACCTGCTGAGCTCCGACGCTCCATGAGCCCTCCCGCGCTGCCGGCAGTGGCCGGGGGCGATCTCGAGGACCACATCTGGTTCTCCGACTCCCACTGGCGATCGCCCTTCCTTCCCTGGTGTCCGGCGCCATGAACGACACGGTGTCACACGCTGGGCTGTCTGTGTCTGTTTGCAGGGAGGAAATCTCATCCCTGTGACTCCATCTGCGGCAGAAGCAGGTGCGTCGCTTTGTCCTCAACAGCCCCAGACAGGGACGACCCCAGGATGTCGCAGGGGTGACGCGGAGAGGGCAGTGCACTCACGTGGTGCACTCTCTGCACCGGCAGAACGGAAGGAGCCGCCGGCTGCGCAGAAACACAGGCAAACCTCGGAGGCCGCTTCCTGAGTGAGAGACGAGGTCCCAAGTGGGTTCACACAACACAGTGCCATTTGCTGGCGGTGACGACTGCAGGGAACTAACCCATGGTGAAGGGCCAGAGCGGGGTCAGCAGAGTCGGGACCACCGGCGGCTGGCGTGGACCCTCCTGTGGTGTGGAAACGCTCCATGTATCCATTACCTGCCGGTGACTCGGAGGTCTGCTTTGTCAGGAAGCGTCAGGTTGTGTGCCTGAGGTCTCAATTCATCGTCTGTAAATTTCACCTGAATAAAACAACGGCGAGGCAGTGGGGGGAGTGCGGTCACCTCGCAACCACGGCTCCCCCAGAAACGACCACGGCAGGGGCTGCGAGCCTGGTTACACCGCACTGAGGGTCCAGGCCAACATCTCCCTAGCGAACCCCGTCTCTCCAGGTCCCCACAGGTGTCCCCCCAAGATCCCAGCTGGCTGGGTGGGAGCCCAGGGACACGCCGTGGAGGACAGATGCCGCGGTTCTGGAACCAGCGTGCGGGATCCTGGCTTTAATACCCAGATGCCACGGAACATTATCTTTGATCACAACGCTTCTTTGAATGATGTATGATATAGGGAAAATACACATGTGTACCTGTGTGCACACGTGTGTATACATACTTAGAGAATACAGACGGTCCCCACCTGAGACGGTGCAGCTTTGCGACAGTGCGAGCAGGACACGCTCCCAGCAGAGGCCGAACTTCATGTGCCGCACGACCACTCCGTTTTCCATTTCAGTGCAGTACCCAACGCTTACACAAGAAATTCAACACTTTATTATGAAACAGGCCTGCTGTAGGTGATTTTGCCCGACCACAGGTGACGTAAGCGTTCTGAGCACATCTGAGGTAGGTCCGGCTAAGCGATGCTCTCTGGTAGATTAAGTGTGTTGAATGTATTTTGATTTAGATGATATTTTAAACTTAAGATGGGTTGCTTTATCGGGCTGTAGCTGAGGAGCATCCGTGTGCAGATATTATGTACCTATTTCCTTTCCCTACATTCAACACCACGTTCCGAACACAGCTGTGTGCAGAAAACGCCCCAGGTCAACCCCCAACACATGACGCCACGACATCACACCAGGTGGGGGGGGTCATCAGGTTTGCAGGTGCGTCACTGCAGATGAGGCACACGCTTCGCCACGGCTGTGCCCACGTCTGGCTGCCAGGAAGGATGATCACGTCCAAACACGACCGTCTGGAACCGACGCCCGGTGTCTACTGCGTTTTAGAAACACTTCCTGGAACTGCCCTGGAGCTGTGTGTGAATGTGTAACTCACTGTAAATTCCCCACTTATGGTAACGCAAGAGGCCTCCAGCCATTGTCTGCGTGGAGAAGGTCTGATGTGTGTGGACGAGTCGCTAAAATGAGGCGTGCGCCCCCTGCATATATTGCATAAAAGCTGAGGCTTAGGGAAAGCCTCCCTAATGGTGTTTGATAGTCTCGGTTGATGCCTCGTCCTGTTCATATTTCTCGTGTCTTCCCGGGTTGCTCCGACACAACAGGCGTGTAAATCACCACGCGTCACAGCTCCTTGCGCCTCAAACCAGGGCTACGGTTTCCTTGACCGATTCTTTTAGTGGATGAAATTTCATGTTCTGTTTTGTCAGAGTGTAATTTAACTGAGGTCAATTTACTTTTCTGGTACTTTGTCCACTTCCCCACTAATTGCTAATCAATGCAGATACAGCCACCCCATAAATTGTCCCATTCATCTTCCCTGCGCCCGTCCCTGCCAGAGCCTGTTGTGACACTGTAGCGTGTCACCATCGGGAAAGCCCACCATGACGCAGTACAGCGCGTCAATTAACTCACAAATTGCCCTCTGCTCTGTCACCGGCTGGACGCAGATCAAAACCTCTCGGTGCATGTCTTCTCCTCCAAAGGGTGGGAAAGTCCTCACCCTGAGAACCGCACTCTTGTCTCCCCACTTCCGCGTGCTGGCTTCAGGATCCCGACAATACTAGGTGCTTTTTAGGTGGTTGGAGGGAAACATCCAAATCAGGAGCAAAGTCTTTTTTAAAAGCACAGGAGGAGTCCAGAACTCACTGCCCGTCTCACGATCACCTCCGGTCCCTTTCACTTTTCACGTAGACCCTTCACGACCACGCTGAGGCCCACCAGGGACCTGCTGGTGCTCACATGGCTGGCATCCCGGTCCCTGCGGCTGCTCCGGGAGCTTCCAGCGTGTCCTCGGAGTCCAGGTGCTCGGGGTCCAGGCCCTGAGGGTCCAGGTCCTCGGGGTCCCGGTCCTGTGAGGGTCCAGGTGCTCGGGGTCCAGATCCTCGGCGTCCAGGTGCTCGGGGTCCAGGTGCTCGTGTCCAGGTCCTCAGTATCCAGGTGCTCGGGGTCCACGTCCTTGGGGTCCAGGTGCTCAGGATCCAGGTCCTCGGGGTCCAGGTGCTCGGGGTCCAGGTCCTCAGTGTCCAGGTGCTCGGGGTCCAGGTCCTCAGTGTCCAGGTGCTCGGGGTCCAGGTCCTCAGTGTCCAGGTGCACGGGGTCCAAGTGCTCGGGGTCCAGGTGCTCGGGGTCCAGGTCCTCAGGGTCCAGATCCTCGGGGTCCAGATCCTCAGGGTCCAGGTCATCAGCGTCCAGGTCCTCAGTATCCAGGTGCTCAGGGTCCAGGTCCTTAGCATCCAGGTGCTTGGGGTC